CGAAAACCACTAATCCATGGAGGGTCCCGCTTGGGATTAACATGGATTGGTGAGACATTTAATAAATAAATTGGATAAGATCGACAAGGTCTCAGTTTGAGAACAAGTCGTTCTAATAATCCAATACATTTTCAAAACTAAAATAAAAGCGAGCTCGACCGTCTTCGCGACCGCCGAGGCCCGTTTGGGCCGGTGGCGACAATGACGACGATGTAAGTAGATCATTATTGAATACTCATGAATAAAAAAAATTAAAAAAAATAAAACTTTTATTTGAGGAATCAATATAAGTGTGTGAAAGGGATACACACTTGAGGAAAACTCATCAATTTAATGTCAAGTTTTAAGTTATGATATGATATTAAATTCCCTTTATGTGATTTATTTACTACCTATGAATGAAGTAATAAAGTATTCTCCAATGTTTAAACACTTGAACTCAACATTTCTTAAACTTCTTAAACATGTTATTAAGAACCTAATTCTTAATTAGTTTTCAAAAAAAATTATTGAAAAAGATAATAACTATTTCATTAATATATTATTTTAATTTATTACTAAATTATGTTCCAATTGAATATGAGATTAATTTCTAACATGTTATTAAGAACCTAATTCTTAATTAGCTGCTAAAAAATTATTTAAAAAGATAATACTTATTTCATTAATATATTATTTTAATTTATTACTAAATTATGTTCCAGTTGAGTATGAGATTAATTTCTCTCGAAAGTTTCATTACATTACATATTATAATAAAATACTTATTTTTCCTATCAAAATACTCATGAAAAAAGTTTCTCCCAATCAAAATTGGTTCTTCAATTGTAACTAATTAAGTGTATAATAAAAACCTCCACGTAAAATTACACTCTACTAACCTCTAAGTTATTTATTTAAAAAAGGAAGAAAAAAATAAGCTGGAGCGAAAGAAAAAAAATCAGTTTCAATTAGAGGATAAAGCTACAGGCAACATGATTGGTGGAAACGAAGCAAGAAGATCGCGTCACCGAAAACCCAAGACAATTATTAATTAATATTTTATTATTATTATTATTATCACAGAAAACGTCCTTTGAGTCTCTCAATCATTTTTCATCGTCCCACGTGGCAGTGAGTTGAGATATCAAGCATAGAAGCAGTGTGGTTCCAAGGCGCAACCTCGTCCCAGCAACCATGGCGGTTCCTGCAACTTCCTCAGCTCCGGTCCTTCGACCTGTCCCCACCAACCGCTCCTTCTCTTCCTTTTTCCGCTACCGCCGCCAGCTTCCCTCTCCCGCCACCAACAAGCCCCTAACCGTCTTCGCCATGGCCACCAAAAAGAAGGTACCAATTCCTTATATTTCTCTCAGCAATCTTTTTTATTTGTATGTAAACTCACAAGTATTCGGTGTCACAAATTTCATGTTCAAAAGTATATAGATGTGCTAGAAATTAGGTTAGAGATCTCACTCACCTTTATTAATTATATGGTTTAAATTTTGTACATAAACGAACACAACCCTGCTTTGTGAGTTAGTTTGTTGAATTAAGCTAAAATTAAAATTCTAAAATTTGGTTTTAGCCTTTGAATTGAATTGATGGCAGATGTTCTTGTAACGCGAATTCATTACTAATTCAATTTTATAAAATTCACTTGTAAAATTAAACTAAATTGTAAGACAGTATTCCAATATCAAGTTTGTTAGCTCAGTGAGGATAATTACATCTCAAATTGTGTTTGATTGAGAGGAAAAATATATGTGAAAAATAGAGTGAAGAGTAGGCTTAAGAGAAGAGTTGGATATGAGTTTTATGATATTTGTCTCTATTTTTGCTGTTTAAACTCATTTTTATTCTCGTGGATATGTAATTTTTGTCTTATTTCCATTCCCGTCGAGTATCAGATATACTCGTACCCGTACTTATATTCGTTAAAAATTAATTAATTTTTTTTATAAGAAAACACATATAATATTTTTAATTTATCTTTTTATTATATTATAATTATATTTGGGTTATTTGTCTATCTCATTTTAATCAAGAGATTTCTTAATAATTAAATAACTATAAATATTTTACATCATGATAAACAATTACATGTAATTAAATATTAAATTTTTTTAAAATAATCAAATCAGAAATAGGGACATCTATGTTCCCAAGTTTTACCCGTACTCAATCAAATTAGATATTCTCGATCAAAGTCAAGTCAGAAAGAGTAAGAATATTATTTACATGTATGAATTTATTTATCACCCTAGTAAAAAAAATAGAAGGAAGAGAAATAAATGTGGGAAATAAGTAAGAAAAAAATCGAAAAATATTTATAAATTACTCATGACTTTATGCTCCGAGTCTTAAGGTGTATGAGAGAGGTAGATTTAGAAAGTGAATAAAGGGGAAATTGAAAAAGTGATTGGGTGTGGCAGGTGAACAAGTACGACGATGGGTGGAAGAAGGAGTGGTTCGGGGCAGGGATCTTCTACGAGGGAAGCGAGGAAGTGGAGGTGGACGTGTTCAAGAAGCTGGAGAAGAGAAAGGTGTTGAGCAACGTGGAGAAAGCAGGCTTGCTCTCCAAGGCAGAGCAGCTCGGCTTCACGCTCTCCTCCATCGAGAAGCTCGGCGTCTTCTCCAAAGCCGAGCAGCTCGGCTTGCTCAGCTTGCTCGAACGAGCCGCCGCCTTCTCCCCCTCCCTCCTCGCCTCCGCCGCGCTTCCCGCCTTCGTCGCCGCCATCGCCGCCATCGTCATCATTCCTGACGACTCCGCCGCGCTCGTTGCCGCTCAGGCCCTCATTGCCGCCGCGCTTGGCGTCGGCGCCGTCGCCCTGTTCGTTGGCTCCGTTGTGCTCGGCGGATTGCAAGAGGCCGACTGATTCAATGTTGTTAATGTGGATGGATTCATTTTAGAATTTTTTTTCTGTAGAATTGGGGATGACTGATGATGATGGCTCTTTGTTTTGGTGTAAAAATTTGTAATAAAAAAGTGAAAATGACCATAATTGACTGGAAATGGCTTTATACAAGAATGTAGTGCCTCTTGTCAATCAAACAATTGCTGCTTCATCATTTATGTTTCATAATTCACATTCAGATTTATGAAGTACTCTATTTTATAGTGGATTAATAATCTCATTTATGGATGTCTTTTGTACGAGAATAAGACTCTAATGGTCTAAACATCTCAAATAATTAAAACAAACATATTCATATTATTTACAAGTTATGAAAGCGAAAGAATCAATTTTTAGTAATCGTTGTCGTTTGGTCGCTTGTTTTTGGTTTCTAAACTCTTACTCTCAATATATAATGGTGTTGCATGTTGAAGAGTAGACTTAATGACCCAAAATAGATATATACGTTCAATTTGTAGAACTTTAATCCATCATAGGTTTTTTTTTAACGTTAGAGAAATATGTGAGAATCACGGTATCATATCCGCAAGTCATTTGATAATGGGTTAAATTAACATCAATAATGGATTATATTTAGAATATGTTAAGTGTTTAATAGAGGAGAAAAAATCAGGAGTGTATAGGCACATTGTGAAAATCGGAGGTGCGTTGCAAATTGTTACCCCCATTTATCTCATTGTTGCAAAACTATTAAAAACAGAGTGTATATGCCAACATTCTCCCACTTGGTCCAATTATCCGATTATCAATTAGAATAAGAAACCAAATATATGAATCATGGTGATATGTCCTCTGATAATAAATATTATCTCCCATATATCACAATATATTAAGTCTTTCATCATAAGCTCTTAGCTCTAATGAATAAACTATATGTCTATTCCAAGTCACAATTAAATGAATTTTCTCAAAGTAAATAGGTATGTACATAAGATAAATGAGAAAACATCAAACTAAACAAGAGTTTTATCAAAATAAAATAATTACAATGATTGTCACATCATGGAACCAAGTCTCATTCGTGTTATATGATCTTTAAAATTCTTTGGCAGCATGCCTTTAGTCAAAGGATTGGCAATCATTAACTCAATGCTAACGTGCTCAATGACCACTTTCTTTTCCTTAACACATTCTTTATGGCTAGATATTTAATGTCAATATGCTTACTTCGACTTCCACTTTTATTATTCTTAGCCATAAAAACAGTAGTGGAGTTATCACAATACAACTTCAATGGCCTAGCAATTGAGTCCACAACTTTAAGCCCAAATATAAAACTCTTCAACCATACACCATGTGAGGTAGCCTCAAAACAAGAAACAAACTCAATCTTCATAGTAGAAGTAGCAGTCAAGGTCTGTTTTTTGTTGCTCTAAGATACAACTCCACAAGCTAGCATAAAAACATAACCATATGTAGATTTTTCTGGTATCAATGCAACTAGCGAAGTTTGAATCAGAGTAGCCTATCACCTCCAAACTATCAATTCATCTATATATGAGCATGAAATATTTTGTTCTTTGAAGGTATCTCATTACCTTCTTTGTAGCTTTTCAATGGTCAACACTAGGATTACTACGATATCTTCCTAAAACTCCAACTACAAATGCAATGTCAGGTATAGTGCAAACTTGTGCTTACATAAAACTTCCAACAGCTGAAGCATATGGAATATTTTTCATGTGTTCCCGCTCAAGATCATTTTTCGAGTACTAACTCGATTCAAGTTTGTCACCCTTCACAATGGGAGCTACACTTGGTGAACAATCTTTCACGTTAAACCTCTCTAAAACCTTGTTGATATAGGTCCCTTGAGACAAACCCAAAATACCTCAAGATCTTTCTCTATGGATCTTAATGCCTATGACATAAGATGCCTCTCCCATATCCATCATATCAAAGTTCTTTGAGAGAAATTGTTTCACCTTTGTACAACATACCCTTTTCATTAGTTGCAAGCGAAATGTCATCCACATATAAAACAAAGAAAGCAAATCTTGCTCCCACTCACTAACCTTCTAGTATATACATTGATCCATGATGTTTTCTTCAAAACCAAATGAAGAGATAACTTCATGAAATTTTAAATACCACTGGCATGAAGCTTGTTTTAATCCATAGATGGATTTGTTAAGCTTACATATTAAGTGCTCACCATCACTAGAGAAAAATCTTTCAGGTTGTTTCTTGAAAACCTCTTCCTCCAGATTACCATTAAGAAATGTTGTTTTCACATCCATTTGATGTAGCTCAAAATCAAAATGTGCTACTAATGTCATGATTATTCGTAGAGAATCCTTCTTAGAAATAGGAGAAAATGTCTCCTTATAATCAATTTCTTCTCTTTGAGTGAATCCTTTGGGGAAAAGTCTTGCTTCATGTCTCTCAATGTTACCTTGTGAGTCCTTATTAGTTTTAAAGACTCATCTGCATCCAATGGATTTTACACCATAAGGCAACTCAACAAGATCCCAGACTTGATTAGACGTCATAGAATTCATCTCTTCTTTCATAGCATTATACCACAAATTCGATTCCTTAGAACTCATGGCTTGTGAAAATGTTTCAGGATCATTTTTGGCTCCAATGTTATAATTCAATTCTTGTAAATACATTACATAATCACTAGAAATTGCTGATCTTTTGGTTCTAGTAGATTTTCTTCATGTTGTCTCATCACCTTGGTGAGGAACTTGTTGTTCAACTAGTTGCTTAATATGTTGTTCAACATTTACTTGTTGCTCCTCGTCAACAACTTGATCTACATTATAATCTTCAGCAACTTGTGGAACTTGAATCATTAGTTTTCTAACACGCTTTTGAATTAAAGGAGTGTGAATGACTAACAGTCTGTCATTTGATTGAGAGGGTTAAACTTCATAGTGATCCTTTTCAAAACCAATATATTGAATTGAATCATTCCCACTAATCAATTCATTTTCAAGAAACTTTGTATTTCTTGATTCCACAATTCTAGTGTTGTGAGATGGACAATAAAATCTATACCATTTGGACTTTTCAGCATATCCAATGAAATACCCACTAATAGTCCTCGGGTCAAGTTTCTTCTCTTGTGGGTTATAAATCCTTACTTCAGACGGACATCTCCAAATGCGTACATGTCATAAACTAGGTTTCCAACCTTTGAATAACTCAAAAGGCGTATTTAAAACAGCCTTGGTTGGAACTCGATTTACTATATACACAATCGTCTTAAGTGCTTCAGCCCATAAGAATTGAGGAAGTTTTGCATTACTCCTCATGCTTTTCACCATATCCATTAAAGTTTGATTTCTTATTTCTGCCATACCATTTTTGATCCGAAGAACCAGGCATAGTGTATTGGGTAACAATGCCATGTTCTTGAAGAAATCTTGCAAATGGACCAGGTGCTTGTGCATTATCAATGTATTTACCATAATACTTTACACCTCTATCTAATCTCACAATCTTAATTTGCTTTCTGCATTGTAGCTTTACTTCAGCCTTAAAAACCTTAAAGGATCTAAGGCTTCATCCTTAGAATGAAGTAAGTAAAGATACATATATTGTGAGTAATCATCTATAAAGGTGATGAAGTATCTTGGACTACTTGCGTCCATATCTAGATAATAAATATCTGTATGAATAATTTCTAGAAGGTTTGAACTCCTTTTAGCACCCTTTTTGGACTTGTTAGTTTGCTTACCCTTAATGCAATTAACACAAGTCTCAAAATCAACAAAATTTAAAGTACTAAGTACTCCGTCAATTACTAATTGTTTAATTCTATCAGTGGAGATATGTCCCAATCTCTGGTGCCACAACATAGAAGAATCCTCATTCATAACACATCGGTTTAACCTAGAAGAAACATGCATAGAACTATAAGCAACGTCGTTATTTTGTAAATTAATATAGTAAAGTTCATCGCATAATTCACCAAAACCAATAACTTTGGATTTATTCAACAAGGTAAAACCAAAATCCATAAATTTAAAAGAAAAACCCAAAGGTGCAAGTTGCAAAATAAAAATCAAGTTTTTACTAAAATTAGGAACATAAAAAGTCTTTTCTAAACATAAATAAAACCACTACTGAAAACTAAATTGTATGTACCAACGGCCTCCACATGTGAGCTCATCTTTCTTCTTGAATAGATGCATTACTCACTTCCCATCGGTTTCCTTAGGGTTTTCATGCCCTGCAAGGTATTAGAAACATGGATTGTAGATCCAGAATCAATCCACCATTTGTTATGATTAATACTAGTCATATTAGATTTATAACAAACAAAAGCAAATAAATTTCCTTTATTTTCTAGCTAATTTTTAAACTTCAGACAATCCTTCTTCATGTGTTTGTTCTTTTTACAGAAGAAACACTTGGACTCCTTCTTAATAACTGGTTGAGCTGGAATCTTTTCCATCTGATTAACTTGATTCTTCTTATTCTTAAAAGAAGTAGTTAAGTTCACCTTCTCCCCTTCTTCCATCAATAAACTTTCCTCTTCTTGAACACACATGGTCAAAAATTCATTAATAGACCACTTATCCTCATGTGTGTTGTAAGAGATTTTAAAGGGGCATAATGGTGAGGCAAGGTGCATAAAATATAGTGCACCAGGAAAGAATCAGACATGGTAACCTCCAAAGCTTTTAGTTGAGCCATAATGTCCCTTATGCACATGATATGATCATGCACTCCTTTAATTCCAGTGAGCTTGTTGGAGTTTGGCTTCTCGTTCACGTGTTTTTATTCTTCCGAGGCTACCTAGAATATCATAAATTACACTGGACTAGGCTGCAGCATGCCTCTTTCCACTCAATATGGACTTCTTAATTAAGTTTATTTTAAGAAACACTGTTTACATTTCTTTTTTATTTGTATTTTAAGGTTTATATACATAAACTAAGAATTTTTTTTTAATTTTAATAAAATAATTATGAAAATTTTAATTTTATCATTTGTATTTTAGATCTATAATAAATAATCATATATTAGTTTTTTTTTTCATTTTTAAGGTACTGGGTCAGTGGGTCAAAGGTTGAACCGGTGGGTCACTGGTTGAACCGCATGACTCGATTTTTATTTATTTTTATTAAAAAATATTCATATTAAATATATTTTATACTTATAAATTTTAATAAATTCATATCTTATTTTAAATTTTAATTTTTCTATATTATTTAAAATTATTTTTATTTTTATTTTGTAAAAAAATACATAAAAAAATTACATGTTAAACAGTATATTAATACAAATTAAAAATATAAACAATATGTACATATATAATATGCTTGCAATTAATATCACAAAATAATATATGTAATATTTACATAGATATTGCATTATTAAATATATAATTTAAAATTAATAATATACTATAAAAGTTATTTAAGTTGTATATATTGCAAACAAATATATTAGAACAAGTAGTCATTGTTATATTTAATAAGACTCCTTGCTTTTTCATTAAGAGATTCAATTTTCATTATTATTTTTGTGATTTATGGTCCCTTAAAAAAATTTTAAAAAAAAAAAAAAAAAAAAGTGGTTGAACCGGTTTGACCCACCGGTTCACCGGTTGAACCGGAAAATTGACCGGTTCAATCCGGTTTGAAACGGGTCGACTGCATAACCGATCCAACTTCAGATTCGGACCGGCTGGACCACCGGTTCCCGGTCCAACCGGTCCGACCGGCCGGGTCGGTCCGGGTTTTAAAACACTGAGTAGCAGTACAAATTAAATAATTAATCATCGTATATAATTTTCTTTTTATACTTTATTTTAAAGAAAAAATGTCGACGAGAAAAAAGTGTTATCCCATTATTTGAGATACCTCCAACGTAACGAGGAAATTAGTCACTTTATTGTAGTGAATATTTCAGGGACGAAAAAATAAAATAAAATAAAAAATATCGTGTCTCCATATAGGGTTAATTTGTGTGCACCTGCTTCTTTAGGTCCTCCAGCGAGACGAATCATGGACTTTTATACTCCAATACCAGTAGAGGGGAAACATACAAGAAGACTTTAACGCTGAGTTAGAGAAGTAGTTGCGGAAACTAGATAAAAAATTTTGGGGTGCAAAATTACTTTTTTATATATAAAATTATAAATTAATTTTTTTATTAATTAAAAAATAATAGAATTTTTCTTTTTTTTATTTTAATTTTTAATTTTATTACAATTAGTAATATGATAATATACAAATATAATATTAATATATATATATAAGTATATATAAAAACGAAAATTTAGAAAAATTTGGGAGAGCTCTGCCATGTCTAAGGTCCACCCATGTTGACAAGAGAAGAATTATTATAATAAATATTGAATATAGTAAAATATAAAAAATATTATATATTAAATATATAAATATAATTATCTTTTTTATATATATTTATACATAATTTTAGTATTAATTTTAATAAAATTTAATAATATAATTTTTTATATCACTATAATTTATATTTATACATTTTAGTAATATATTGATGAAATAACTCCTCTTCACACAATAAAATTATCAACACATTCAGGATCTTAAACGAAAAACACACATATTTTATTTCTTGACTTTATATATAGAGTAGAATTATAATACAAAATTTTAATGATATAATCCTCCTAATTAAAAAAAATCAAGAAATAAATCTAAAAAAGATATTGTACTAACCGTACTTCGCACCCGGGCTCCTAACCCGGATTAGTGTTGCAAACAAGTAACCCCGGGCACGCGGTGCATGACGTCAGCCCGACATTTGAGCGAATCATACCTGACTCAGAGGATCTCGTCCCAGACCAGATCCGCCCTTCAATTATATCATATCATGATATATCTTATCTCAAGCCCAAAGGCCCAAGACAACCCTCACTGACACAAAGGTATGTGCATTACATATATACGAGACTCATACTCATACAAACCCTAACTTTAGCATCGGAGTCTCTTTTGCAGGTACCTCCCCCATCTCGGAGCACCAATACACCCAACGAAGGAGACTCATCAATCTTACCCGGCGAATCAGCTCTACAGCAGATTTCCGGTAAGAACATTTGGCGCCCACCGTGGGGCCGATCAGACCAAGCTCTTATCGGCTACTCGCACGGTCCGTACCAGGAACCGTATCAGACGAGCACCCAAGCAAAATGAGCAACGAACATACAGCTTCAGGAGACTCAACCCGCGTCACCAACCTGACAATCCTAAAGAGCACAACTGTCCACGCTCAAACCCAATGGCGGTACCCCGATCGTCCCTCCGACTCACCCCTCGGCCCCGGCGAGGCAGTCCGGGACCTGGAAGACCGGGAAGCAGGGCCTAGCCCCCCAAACCAATTAGTAAGCACAATTGCGGGCGGCTTCGCAGGGGGCGGCGCCAGCAGCTCGTCCCGGAAAGAACACCTACGCAAAGTCAACCGCGTACACCCCGCCACGCATACTGTGCGCCGAGACTCGCCCACCATATCTTTCACCAACGACGACTACGTCGGAATCAGTCCAAATCAGGACGACCCCATGGTCGTGACAGTAACTTTAGCCAATTGGGAAGTTCGCAGGACCCTGGTCGACCAGGGAAGCTCGGCCGATGTCCTATACTGGCCAACATTCCTCAGGTTAGACATTCCCCACTCTCTCGTACAACCTCACACCGAACCTTTGGTCGGTTTTGCAGGAGCAACCATCCACCCCAGAGGACGAGTGGACCTATTGACGACCTTCGGAACACCGCCGGCCTCCCGGCAAATCCTGGTTCGGTACCTACTGGTGGAGGCCGACTCCACCTATAACACCATCATCGGCAGGTCAACCCTAAACCAACTCGGGGCGGTAGTGTCCACCCCGCATCTTACCATGAAATTCCCGGGGCACGACGGAAAAATCATCTCCATCAGAGCAAACCAGCAGGAAGCGCGACAATGCTACGTAGACAGCCTAGAAACTGTCCTCCCAATCAGACAACACAAAAGCGACTTCACTGTTCTAACCCGTGCTGACCACGAGGGAACCACCGACCTCGATCCGAGATCCGACGCTCACGATGAGCGGCCCAGTCCCGTCGATGAGCTCGACGATCTCCAAATTGGAAAGCTCCCCAGCCAAACAACAAAGATCAGCAAACAATTAGACCCCAAACTACGACAACAACTCCAGGAAGAAATCCTCAGGAACGCCGATCTCTTCGCTTGGTCCAGCGTTGACATGCCCGGCATAGACGCCAACTTCATCTGCCACAGGTTAGCGATACACAAAGAGGCCAAGCCGGTCGCCCAAAGAAAGAGGAAGGTCGGCGGCGAAAGGCGGGATGCCGTCATCATTGAAACGCAGAAACTGCTCAACGCCGGTTTCATCCGGGAAGTCAGGTACACTACCTGGCTGGCAAACGTAGTCCTAGTAAAGAAGAACTCGGGAAAGTGGCGCATGTGCGTCGATTACACCGACCTCAACAGAGCATGCCCCAAGGACTCGTACCCCTTGCCGAGCATCGATAGGTTAGTCGACGGAGCATCCGGGCATGCCCTCCTCAGCTTCCTCGACGCCTATTCCGGGTACAACCAGATAATGATGTATCCACCGGATGAAGTACACACGTCCTTCATCACTGATCGTGCCAACTACTGTTACCGGGTGATGCCCTTCGGCCTCAAAAACGCAGGGGCAACCTACCAGCGGCTGATGGACAAAGTCTTCCACCACCAAATCGGGCGAAACATGGAGGTCTACGTGGACGACATGGTGGTAAAAACCATCTCGGCAACGGACCATGCCTCCGACCTTGCCGAGGTGTTCGCCCAGATCAGAAAACACAACATGCGTCTCAACCCGGAGAAATGCGTCTTCGGTGTCCGGGGAGGAAGATTTCTTGGCTTCATGATCACCAGTAGAGGAATCGAAGCCAACCCCGAGAAGTGCGAGGCCATCATACACATGCAAAGCCCACAATCGGTAAAAGAGGTGCAACGCCTGGCCGGACGGCTGGTCTCACTGTCCCGGTTTATCCCTAAACTCGCGGAGAAGGCGGGACCAATTTTCACCCTGTTAAAGAAACCAAAAGACTTCTCGTGGACCGACCAGTGTGAAGCAGCGTTCCAAAGCTTCAAAAATTTCCTCACAACCCCGCCAATCTTGCAAAGGCCGGATCACAACACCGACCTCCTTCTTTACCTGGCAGTGGCAGAAGGCGCCATCAGCGCCGTCATTGTACAAGAGCATCAGAAGGCGCAAACCCCAATCTACTTCATCAGTCGGGTCCTCCAAGACGCCGAAAGAAGGTACCAAATGGTCGAAAAGCTGGCGTTGGCACTGGTCACCGCAGCCCGGCGACTCCGACCTTACTTCCAAAGCCACCAGGTGGTAGTCAAAACCGACTACCCCATCAAACAAATCCTGCGAAAGCCTGAGCTTGCCGGACGCATGATTGCCTGGTCAATAGAACTGTCAGAGTTCGGAATCCGGTACGAAAGCCGCGGACCTCTAAAAGCCCAATGTTTGGCCGACTTCGTAGCCGAGCTCACGCCGACCACCACAGAAGAACCCCAAGCATGGACCCTCCATGTAGACGGATCCTCCAACTCCAAAGGAGGAGGTGCAGGCATCATCCTGGAAGGACCAAACCAAATCACTGTGGAACAATCCCTCAAGTTCGGATTTAAAGCAACTAATAACCAGGCAGAGTACGAAGCTCTCCTCGCCGGACTAAGATTAGCCCGGGACCTCGGAGCTCGAAGAGTAAGCTGCAACAGCGATTCCAAACTCATGGTAGAACAGCTTGGTGGAACGTACCAAGCAAAGGACGCCCTCCTACAGAGATACTTTCATACCGCAGCCCAACAGATCTCGTCTTTCGATGAGTTCTCCATAAAACACGTACCGCGAGAGCAGAACACCAGAGCAGACCTACTGTCAAAACTCGCCAGTACCAAAAAGCCCGGGCAACACCGAACCATTATCCAGGAAACCTTGCACTCACCCAGCCTGGATGATAAAACTGTCAATGTCAACGACAGCGAAGAGCTAGGATGGATGACAGACATATGGAACTACCTAAAAGATGGAGCCCTGCCTACAGATAAGGATGAGGCAAGGAAGGTGAGAATGCGATCAGCAAAGTTCACCATCATCGACGGTGAATTATTCAAACGCGGAATTTCCATCCCACTGCTCAAATGTTTGACCATATCTCAAGCAGACTATGTTGTCAAGGAAATTCATCACGGAGTATGCGGAATGCACTCCGGAGCTCGCTCGATGGCAGCCAGGGTACTCCGGGCTGGGTACTACTGGCCCACCTTGAAGTCAGATTGCCAAAACTACATCCAGAAATGCAAAGAGTGCCAGCAGTTTGGCAACGCGCATCGACAGCCCCCCGAGGCTCTTCACCACATGATGGCAGCATGGCCTTTCTCCCAGTGGGGAATGGACATCCTTGGGCCTTTCCCCCCCGCGAAGGGTCAGTTAAAGTTCCTCCTGGTGGCAATCGACTACTTCACCAAGTGGATCGAGGCGTGCCCACTTGCCAAGATCACCACGGAAAACGTGCGAAAATTCACATGGAAAAACATCGTTTGCAGATTCGGAATTCCCCACACTATTGTCACTGACAACGGGCGGCAGTTCATCGCAGAAGAATTCGAAGTCTTCCTCCAAGAACTCGGAATTAAGCACTTGCCAACCTCGGTGGAGCACCCCCAAACCAACGGCCAGGCCGAAGCAGCCAATAAGGTCATCCTCCGGGAACTCAAGAAACGGCTAGGGAACGCAAAAGGGGAGTGGCCCGACATGCTTCCCGGCATCCTCTGGGCATACCACTGCACCCCACAGTCAACAACGCAAGAAACACCTTACCGACTAACTTATGGAGCCGACGCAATGATCCCGGTAGAGGTCGGACAAATATCCCACTGATGCCAAGTCTTCAACAATGAACAAAATAACCACGAGCTAGCAACAGACCTCGACCTGCTAGACGAGCTCCGAGACGAAGCCCAAATCCACGCAGAATCTTGCAAACTCCGGGCCGCCCGGAGATATAACTCACGGGTGAAACCCTGGTCTTTCCGGGAAGGCGACCTGGTATGACGGCTACTCGGAGAAGCACGAAAGGACACGTCGGACGGGAAGCTCGCACCCACTTGGGGCGGCCCATTTCGAGTCGCAGAAAACCTAAAAAATGGAGCCTACCGGCTAGAGGAACTCAGCGGCAAGCCCGTTCCACGAACTTGGAACGCTACCCACCTCAAATTTTACTTCAGTTAAACTTTGTACAAATACACGGTGCACTCTTTTTAACGAGGCACACGGCTTTCGTCAATAAAATGACTCGTTCGTTTTATATATTCAAAATCCCTTACGGTGCCGTTACCCGGTCATTTAAACAGAGGTCGAAAACAAACCTCACTTCATTCGAATAGAGGTCGAGAATAAACATGTATTAATAACATAACTTACGTTTGACACAAATTATCTCATGTCCAACATCACTAAGGCAAGGATCTTTTTGTCTCCTTTATGTTTGGCGTCACTCAATCCACGCTCAACGCAACTGAAGTAGGTAACCTCTAAGATATCCAGCCTGATATGGCAAAATTCATGCCTGACCTTTATATCTAATAGAGAGCCTTTGTCTGACTCACACTCGACGTCATCTCGTTGACTCTTGACATCATCTAGGCAAAGAGCCTCTCTAGATTATCTCTCTAAAATTCAAAGAATTAAAACTTATGAGACTCAATTCTTAACATAAACCTTATATATCTCCTATCCTTAGGGTCAACTAAACCTTTGGACATAAATTCTTAAAGTTAACCAAACTCTTAAGAGTTCCTCAACTCTTACAACTTCACAACACACCTCAAACACCATATAGATAATTAATTGTTGCTAAAAGATAATAATTAAAACTTACAGTATTACAGGTACTAAATTTAGTTTTTTAAAATAAATTTGTTTTTTTTAAATAAGGTCTTAGGTTTATATTTCATGTATGTAAAAACATGGTTAAAAATAAAATTTGTTAAAGTTGGTCAATTAGATTCTTTGATAGAGAATAATCAACAATAAAATTAATAAATATTTTATACTAATAATATAATTAAAAATAATAATTATAAACCTTTTAAGTTAGTCCTTAAACTTTTGTAACATATATCACCTCAAGGACTAAAGTTAGAAATATTTAATACTTTGAGAGATTATCTATACAATTCTAGCTATGCTTTTTTACGTAATAGGCAATTTTTTTTTTAAAAAAAATGAAATGGGAATTTTTTAAAGAAAAACTTTAAAAATGATTAAATCGTGTTTGAAAAAACGCTTTTTAAATGAAAGTTATGTTTTACAAATACAACCTTTAATTTTATTTATTTATACGAAAATCATATTTATAATTTTTTTATACAAAAAATCATGTTCATAAAATCTACTTTCGTTTCTTTAATATTTTTCAAAAAGTGAAGTTGTGGTGTTTTTTATTTCTCTAAACGTTAAAATAACATAGTTTTATATAAAATTAAAAAAAATATATTTTGGAAACACAACTTTATTTTATAAGATAAAAATTTCAACAAAAAAAAAAGTGTTTTAAAAACATGACCTTTAATTTATAAATTGTGTTTTGCAAACATGAATCATTCTATTTCGAGAATTTCTTTAAATTCATTCATTTCGAAAAATTTTAAAACAATTTGCCCAGAAAGGTTAAAAAAAACGTATAGTTTGATTACTTTGGGAATCAAATTGATTATTTATTTTTCCTAATTAAATTATTTGGAAGAAAGAAACAATGTTGGTAATGGGAACACGTGAAAGAGTTGAAGTTTGAAATTAAAATTGAAGTTGGCGTCTTGTTTGGGAATGTTTGAATTGTTGACGAGGTCAACATGGAGAACCTGAAATCCTAAACTTGTATTTTGTTTCTTAAAAGTAATGGAAATAGGATATTAAGTTACAACCCGCGTGTGGAAAATCTTAATATTCATCCACGTCAACGCCAACAAATCATGATGACCTTTTTTTTTTTCAACTAAAAAAAATAGAAAAGAATAAATGATTTATGTCAGCTTCTCATCTTGATCATGAAAAGATTATAACTTACGACACTTCGAATTAAACCTTAAATTACGGACAATATATTAGAATATTACCCCCTAGCATAGCTTCATAGGCCCTATTTGTATTCTTATTTCTCCGACTCCAAGTCCTTTTTTAATAAAAAAAAATGAAATAAAAAATGTTTTCTCTTGTGTGAACAGTCAATAATTAATTTATTGAGACAACGGTTTTTTTTTTTTCAATAGATACTTCTCTTTTGTTTAGTTAGGTTTTAAGAAATGATTAAACTTAAAAATAAAGATTTTTATTTTCTTGTTATTAGAGTATGATTAAACTTAGATAGAGTAAGCATTGGTTTAATTTCAATACACATTTTTAATCATATAATGTTGAAGTAAACATTTACCTTTGGTTATGTAATTTTAAAACTTCATGGTAAGAATACAGAATAAATTGATGCATGTTTTGTTTTTTTTAAAAATACTTTCTTTGATAAATTTTATTACTATTAATTAGAGTTCATGCAAAACGTACTAAATGAGGTGAGTTTTATGTAGGGATGTCAAATATACATGTATCCGCAGGTAATACCCGAACCTGTCCCAACTTTGACGGGGAATACCAAGTTTGACCGGGTATCATACCTGACTCAGAGGATCTCGTCCCAGACCAGATCCGCCCTTCAATTATATCATATCATGATATATCTTATCTCAAGCCCAAAGGCCCAAGACAACCCTAACTGACACAAAGGTATGTGCATTACATATATACGAGACTCATACTCATACAAACCCTAACTTTAGCATCGGAGTCTCTTTTGCAGGTACCTCCCCCATCTCGGAGCACCAATACACCCAGCGAAGGAGGCTCATCAATCTTACCCGGTGGATCAGCTCTACAGCAGATTTCCGGTAAGAACAGATATCAAAATAGATAAAAATCTATAAATCTAAATAATATCATAAAGATTATAAATTTATAAAATATCTCCATATATATTCACTCACTCAACTTATTTGAAATTTGAATTACTTTCTCTTTATATATATTAATATATTTTATATATAATATAAATAAAAATAATTTTTAATAATAAATATTATATTATTATAATATATGCTAGTACATGACAATTGACATCTAATATCTTTTAAATAAATACATAATTCTTATCACCTATTTAAATATTCAAATAAGGAAACATCTCGACAAATAATGATATGACATTGTCTAATTAAATGAAGAGATTCTCTTATCAATTAGTTAAAGACAAGATATTTAATTTATGATGATATCATATTTTAGGACATAATTAACGGGAAGATAAATTGTTAATTAATAAGGAGTAACCTCGTAAGGTTTTGTCTTATGGTGATGTTCGGGATCTATTGTGGGTCAACAAAGGAGGCCAAATCAGTTGAGCCGAGCTGAACGGTACATGGTTAAATAGGTTTTTGGTCTTTTAATATTTTAAGAATTTGATTTTTAATTCTTTTTAAATTCTTTTTCCAACTTTTAATTTTTTATTAATTTATTGTCACATAAATTACTTTCTGAAATTAAATCTTTTTGTTAAATGATAATGTGGTAATATGAGATTTAATTGACAACATTACTGATGCCTAAATGAGTATCAACTAGATACCACATTATATGAGATTTAATAAATTTTCATTTGCCCCAATAATTGCTACAATAAGATAGCAATGTGGGCATAAGATATGGTAGCCACGAAGACATATTATTTAGCCAAATAGAAACATTACAAATCTCATATGATTTAACATCTACTAGACATTAATAGTTCAATCTCATCATTTATTGTCATTCTTAATTAAAAATAAAAAATTTAACCTTAAAAACTAATTTAAGTGACAAAAATAATTAATAAAAAAATTAAAAGTTGAGAAAAAAAATAAAAAAGACTAAAAATTGAATTCTTAAGAAGTTGAGAGACAAAACTTATTTAACCCCTAAAAATAATTTCAAGTATCTTTTGTATTATATTAAAATTTTCATAATAAATTTTATATGAGATGAATTTGTTTTTGGTCCTCAAATTTAAAATTAATTTTCTAGTCCCTACAATTTGAAAAAAAAAATCTTATTTTTAATTCTTCTATTCAAATATTGTTAGTGAATTGTCAAATAAAATTCACCTATTATTAAATTTAACACACAAAAATTATCTACTATTATCTTTATTAGTAAAAATATTATATTAAATTTAATTAATCTGACCTATATAATTGTCACAATTTTTCATTTTAAGTTATATTACTGGGATCTTGTGAGACCCTCTCTTTTCTTTCCCCAATTACCCTTACCCTCTCTTACTCTCATTCACACACTACCAAGCTTTCACATTCAGCATTCTCCTTCACCCCCCTTCCTCACATTTCTGACTCATTCTAGTTGCTTATTCAAGGTGTTGGTCAAGAATAGGATTGGATTTCTAGTTGAGCCGTGCAGAGCTTCCTCTTCTCCTTCTCCCTTTCTTCCCCGTTGAGCATTTTCTTCTACTTCCCGGAGCTAGGATCTCTTGATTTGAGGTAAGGGAACCTAGTCTCTTGTCTTGTTTTGGCTGAAAATGAGTTCTAAGAACTCTTTAGTGGTATGGTATTCGCTACATTTGAGCTGAGAATCTGCTGGGATGGATGATTAGGGGCTTTTCGGGTTATGGGGTCCTTCGAAAATTTTTGGGGAAAAAGCTTGATTTGTGGATGCATGTTGAAAATGAGGCATTTTTATTGATATTTGATGAGAATGGGAACTTTTGGCTGGATTGCATGTTTGTTTTCTGTTATGTTTTGCAGAATTTTGGACAAATTTCGAACTTGGGGATGCTTGCTGTTGAATTCGCGCTGGGCGCTGTTCTTCGCGCCGGGCGCGCGACCACCAGGAGACTTTGTTTAGGCAAGCCCGCCGGGCGCAAGGCTGTGTGCCCTGGGCGAGCTTGCAAATGAGAGTCTCTGGTTGGCCCGTGCCGGGCGTGACTCGAGCTACGCTGGGCGCGATATCAAGAGTAACATGTTTTGGGATAATTGGTGCTGCGCTAGGCGCACGTTTGGACTCGCTGGGCGCGGAGGCTCCTTGGGAGTCTCTGCCAAGAGCACGCCGAGCGCAATACGAATTGCGCCGGGCGCGAGACCTTGGTAGGTCTCTGCCTTCCCCATGCTGGGCGCGGGTTAGGCCCCGCTGGGCGCACGAGACTCCTTGAGTCTCTGCCAGGCAGGCGTTGGGCGCAATTTGGAATTGCGCCAGGCGCGGGAGAGCCTTGGTGCTCTCGGGTTGAGTCTCGCCGGGCGCGAGTACTCCTGCGCTGGGCGCGTTGGCCCTGGTGCTCTCGGGTTAAGCCGCGCTGGGCGCGACCTCGAGTACGCCGGGCGCGCAAGGAGATGATGACCTATATGATGTTGGCTGTTGAATTGTGCCGAGATTGTTAATCAATGATGTTATATGCTGAACCAAGTTGTATTTGATGAATATGTTGTGATGACTAGGGGATAAAGTTGAGATAAATATGTTAGCTGTATTAGAGGTGTATTGTTGAGCTGGAATCAATGAATTAATAAGTGAAATTTTATAGTATAGTAGAATTATAGATTGTTGGGCTGAATTGTAGAAAATAATAATTGTGTTGAATTGCTGTGTTGTGTTATGCTGTGTTGTGTTGTGCTGTGATGTGTTGTGCTGTGCTGTGCTGTGCTGGGCTAAGTTGTGTGATACTATAGCCGCTAAGTCGGTGCTGTTGTTAGCCACACATGTGGTGCTGATTCTAACCGCTAAGGCGGTGCTGTTGTTGCCGCTTTGCGGTGTCATTATAGCCACTCGAGTGGTGCTGTTGTTGCTGCTAAGCAGTGCTGATATTGCCGCATTGCGGTGCTGATATTGTTGAGTGATATAAGTTGTACAAGTGTGCTGATAACTGTATCTGTTGTTTATTTATATTGATATATATATTTGTATGTTGAATTTTAATTACACTAGCTTACCCTTTTGTTGTCTCCATGATGTTGGACTGCAATGATCATACTATGTATGGGAGCAGAGCAAAGATAGGTGGGCGTCTGATGATGAGTCTCCGGCGGACCAGTAGAGCTGATTACTTTTATGATTTTTTTGCTGTGTAGCTACTTGGGATAGTAGCATTTGATTGTAATTTCTTTTGTACACTCTAACTCTAGTTGGATTGGAACTCTGTATATATTTATATTCTAGACCCTATAATTATATACTTGTTCTATTCTGTCTAGTGTTTCCGGTGTGCGGTGGTTGGAAGTGTAGTGGCCAGCCGGGTCGTTACAGATCTCATAAACTAAAACAAGATTTTTAAACCTAAATTTAATTATTAACTTGTTTATAAAATAAAAATATTCAAACATAAATTATATTATTTTAAAAATGATTTTAATGAAAATTAATTTTAATTAGAGTCAATTTTAACAAAGTACTCTAATCACACTCAATGAATCATAAATTTATTAGAAAAAAAGTTATTTTACAGCAAACTTTACTACTTTATTATTAAAGAGTTAGTGTAAACACGTGTAGTAGAATTATTTTTATATAAAAACTCTTAAAAATCGATTCCTAACAATAAACAAAGATTTTCACTTAAATAAAAATAATGAAATGTAAGATTCATAAAATAAATTAAAATTTTAAATTAAGTCCTTCTAAAATCTTAAATCACATTGAGAAATTCATAAAAATTTGATTAAAGACTTAAAGAAAAAATAAGAAGACCGATAAGAAAGACAAACAACGAAGATTGATAGTAATAGATCAGGCACGGGCGAAACAACCGTCGACGACAAGATCGTGTCCGGTCACAAACTGAGAGTCACTGGACGCAAGGAACAGCACCGCATCGGCCACAAATTTAGGGGTCAAAACGACACCTTTCAGCCTGGAGCTCTGCGCATAGTGTTGTTGCACCTCCTCCGGGGTCTCCATGGAGGCAAGCGCGGCACGTGTGAGGGGCGTGGCCAACCCACTCGGTGAGACGCAGTTCACCCTAATACCGTGCGCCCCAAGCTGCGCGCTCGCGCACCGCACCAGCCCCTTCACGGCGTGCTTCGACATCACGTAGTCCGTGCGCTGCGGCGCGCCTCGCGACGCCGACACGCTCCCCGTGCACACGATGCTCCCCCTCACGCCCAGCGCCGCCATGGAGCGCGCCGCGTGCTTGACGCAGGCCGCCATGCCCCGCGCGTTGACGGCGAAGAGGCGGTCGAACTGCGACAGGTCGAGGTCGAGGATTGTCTGGTCGGAGGGACTGAGGATACCGGCGTTGCTGAACATCACGTCCAACTGCCCGTAGGCGTTGACCGTCGCATCCACGAGGTTTTTCACTTGCTCTTCGTCTGTAACGTCACAATGGACATAGCTGCACCTGTACAGTTTATACACTTAATCATTTTTGTTCTATGTAGCAGTTCAGGCATTCTGTATATGTGTTTTTAGCTTTAGTCAAAAAATTCTTTTTAATGTATAATGGAGGTTGTAAACAGTAGGAAGGGGTCTTGGAGTAATTGAATATTAATTAATTAATTATTAAATTAATACAATAAATAAAAGTTACTAAATTATATTTTACCGATAAAAAATATAAAAAATAATGTGATAAAAAGAATAAAAAAGTATAATTAACGAAATGTATGCATGAAAATATTGTATGATTTGTATCTATTATTATATGTTTGGATTTAGAGTCTACAATTCAGTTCAAAATTCATGTATCGGTGATGGATGAGGTGTAGGTTAAGAGAACCTAACCTATGTCAAGAGATTAATTGCTATGGTTGATCACATGTTGGAAGAGTTAAGGGGTGAGTCCATTAGCTCAATGAAAGTATTATGGGATACAATTACTCGTGAGACTATCTGAGAGGTAGTTAGGAAAAATTGTAATAATGTGTATTTTTACTAGTTATTGTTGTTTTTATTAAATTATTGTGTTATGGTAAATTTTTATTTAATTCAGAGAAGTTCCTTGGAATTTAGAAATTCTTATGAGTTTTTAGTTGTTTAAGAGTTTCTCTAAGCAGAGTTTGATTTGTAAGGGAAGGCATATAAGTCTGGGTGCAGGATTGGTAGATCAGGCATGAGTTAAAGGAATGCTCTCAAACCTGATCACACTAGGCGTGAGTTGAATGATACTTGGTGTGGGTGCCCTTGGAGCTCTCTAACTTAGTGACGTCAGGCCCTAGTTGAGTAGCGCTATACATGATTAAGACAGAAGTTCTCTACTTAGACGATGTTGAGTGCCAACTTAGTGAATCTGGGCTTGAGTCAAGACAAAGCACTCTACCTAAAATGGGGTATAACTTGAAGGAAGCACGCCCATGCAAGAGGTACCATGATCGTGCTAAAGGAAGGATGTCCATGCATTGTCAATATTGGGGAACTACGACCACGCTTAATTAACCACACGTTGAATTGTAGTGAAACACACCCATGCTTATTTATGAATGCTCTCGTGCATCCTTTTAAAATTCGAATTTGCCTTTTATATCTATATAAGAAATGTAGCCTTAGATGTTATTAGCTTTCTAATGTCATTGAAATCACCCAAAAAGGATGGGTATAACTCAAGTTATAATCAAATTAATGAGTGAAGTTCAAACTGTCATATTTAGACTAAAACATTGTGGTTTTGCATTTTTTAAAAATAGTAGATGGAATAATTAGCTCTTGAGATCAACATAGAAATTGGAGATAATTGTATTAGCTTTCTAGAAAAATTAAGATCAATTTGATAGCATACTTATGGCTCTAGATAAGGCATTTGGATCACCCGATGTCTTAGAAGATTAAGTTATAAAAATATAGTTTGTGAATGATGATGATGGTTTTAGCCTCTAAGTGTTTGATCTCATGAATGCTTAGAGATATCTATATTAGTATTAGGAAGGATAAACCATGAGAAAGGATAATTGGGAATAAGTTATGATAAGAGTTAATTATTAACAACTTCAGATGTTTTGGTGATAACAATGTCTAAGGACTTAATGTGTGATAGTGATAAAATTGCTAGATTAGTTAAGTTATTGATTTAAACTCATAATGACATTAATCTCTTAGTGATTATGGTTGAGGTGTTTACATATGATTAAACAATCTCATAATGATTCTTTCTTGAGGTGTATCGGATGATGTGTAATCATTGTACTACTTAATGTTGATAATTAGTTCTAATTAATGTGTATGTCATTAATATGATATATTGTGAGCTATGTATTAGTTGAGTGATCTGCTTTGACATTGATACACTTGATGTGCATAAATCGTGTGAGGGTCATATGATGAGAAGTCTAAGCGAGGCTTAGCCATGATATGATATAACAAGATGTGTGATGTGTTATGGTATGAGATCATGTGAAATGTTATGCATAAAGTCTATTTGATATGTATCATATGCATAGAAGTATTTTTAAGGGTACGATATGAAATATACGTCCTTGGTGTGCATGATATGTATCTTGTGCAACTCAACTATCATGACCAAACCTTGGTAGTATCTCCTTCTAGTTAGAATGCACAAAAGGTGTGACCCAAGATGTACACTTAAACTACTCTACATGTATTACTAGTGGTAATGCACAAGTGTGATGTATGGTATTTTTACTGATGCCACATACGTAATGATATGTAGTTCATGTCCATTGCAAAATGCATTATAATGTATATGTTATTGCTTATTATGCTATGACTAAATAAGTGTGATGATAATTTGTGTGTGTTATATCTTGATGTATGTCTTGTTTATATTTGACTATCTGACTTGCATTCCTATACCGTGGACTAGAGTAAGATGTTTCTCTCTTCCTTTGTTTTATGTTGTTTTCCTTGTTTGTTATGCACGTGATCATCAACATGAGGTTGAAGATGTGGTGATGAGTTTTAGGCTTCAATGTTTGATATTGTTCTGATAGGACATGTGACATCGGGGTGTACTTAAGACTAGATTAGGATTTTATTTTTGTTAAATTATTTTGGATACATTAATTTTGTTTCCTTACAATTTTATTGATTATGTTATTTTATTAAGTTAAAAATGTGATACTTTCTACTTAAACTTGTTTGGTTTATTTATAAAGATTATATTATTATTTTATTTATTACTTATGTATTATGGCATGTGGGATAGTATAGGGGTCAGTCAAGTAAAATGATTATAAAATGATCAATATAGATTCATATAAGAGTTAGGCCGAGTCATACGTGTACAAAGTGACCAAATCGAGTAAGATACAAGATTGGGGATCAAAACCCCTAACTAAGTACTAGAAGGACTATAGTATTTGGAAAGTAGTCAACGAACTAATCTCATTAGAGGTTTAGTTATGCTTGCTAATGTTGTGGTAGACCTACACTCGAGTTATCTTACCATACAGAAATACTGCACTTTCCTAGTTTTAGTGGCAAAAAAATCATGTTTTTGTATATTTTTATCCAAGTTGGTTGTTGATTTAGCATATGTAAAAAAGATCATGTTGTTGTTAGTTTGGTAGGTCATGCCACTTAGATTGCTCATTTTGTTATAAGAGATCTCTTAGTTAAATGCGTAACGATGCATATAGTTGTTAGATTGTGCATATAATGTGTTGATTGTGTTGTGTTGCTCAAATGTTATGCTAAATATTTGAGGTGTTGCTATTGTGTTTTTAAAATTGAAAACCATGAGGAGTTTTGTTGTGTGGTTGATATGTTGATGTGATAGTATAGTTAGATCTTTCTTCTATACTTGCTGATTATTTTTGAATATGTTAGTTTATCCTTACATGTCTTCTTGTGGTTGAATTATGATAATCATATTTATATTGACAACATTGATTATTTTTAGACTACCCAGGTTTAGTTAGTTTGTAGATATTGTTTGATTGATAACCCATATTTATACTTCAGTTTTTAAATTACTGTATATACATATAATTATAGCTTATAGATGTAATTCCAATGAGAGATTTACTTTCAATTTAATATAATTTATACATACACAAATATATATATATATATATACATATATATCATAATATGTATTTTTAAGAATTTTTTGTATGTTAATTTAAGGGTGAATTCTTTGAAAGACCACTTTCACAAGTGTTCCATGGGTGCAACATCAGTTTTCACCCTTAGATGCATCTAAACTAGTAGACCATAATACACCTTACCACACTAGATCTAAATTTTTGATTTTTTTACTGAATTTTTTTTTAAATTATCCCCAAAAAAAGAACACGTGGTAAGAGACGAAACTGCTACTGACTCTCGGAACGGGCCGTTCTGAAATCAGAACGAGCCGTTCCAAATGAACAAATAACACATAAATATAGGACCAGAACGGGCCGTTCCAGATGACAAAAAAACACATGACGAATGGAACGGAACGGCCCGTTCCAAAATCAGAACGGGTCGTTCCGAATTCAAACATGACACATCCACCTCACAACTTGCTTTGAATGAGCTTAGATAGAGAGCACTCTTGGGAGGTGATTAGCTCACTTAAGCGAGTAAATTCTTGCGTTAAGTGACTAAAATGCACTCAATGAGTGCTCCAAACGAGCCAAGTTAAAGAACACCCTTGAAATGCACTCAATGATGCCACAATTCATGGATGAAACTCAAAATCTACCATCTATTAGCATCATAAAACATATAATTTGAAATAAATACATGCAACAATGCAATACAAGATCACCATTCGTTCTTCCTTCATCAGGAAACCTCAAGAACAAGAATACCAAAGTTCTACCTTTTCATTTTCAACTTAAGTACTTTCCAAAGCATGAATCAACAAAGTAAAATCAACATATACAACATAAAATATCAAACTATAAGCTTCCTTTATCTCAAATCTTCCAGAAAATAAGAAGAAAAGACTATACAATGAGATATTTCAACTTTTAAAACAATGCATCTCCTCTGACTCTAAGTTTACAACACAATTCAACATCATGCATTAAGCATTCATAACAAAACTTTACATAACAACATGTCGCATGCATATCACAACTTTACATAACAACATGCCACATGCATATCACAACTTAAGTATGGGGTAAAATATCTTAAACCCTAAACTCTAAACATTTTACAACTTCAAACAACAAGCTATTTTCAACTTTAAAACAATTAAGTTTCAACATACACCATCATAGACTATCATACTATGAACTAGATGTAGCTATCATCAAACTTCATGTAAACAACCAACACAACAATATATGATTTAGAAGATTACAAGTTTTCAAGGAAAATAAGTGTTACAAGCCACGGGGAGCACACTCTAAGTGAGCAAAATTCACTCCAAACACTCACAACTTGCTTTGAATGAGCTTAGATAGAGAGCACTCTTGGGAGGTGATTAGCTCACTTAAGCGAGTAAATTCTTGCGTTAAGTGACTAAAATGCACTCAATGAGTGCTCCAAACGAGCCAAGTTAAAGAACACCCTTGAAATGCACTCAATGATGCCACAATTCATGGATGAAACTCAAAATCTACCATCTATTAGCATCATAAAACATATAATTTGAAATAAATACATGCAACAATGCAATACAAGATCACCATTCGTTCTTCCTTCATCAGGAAACCTCAAGAACAAGAATACCAAAGTTCTACCTTTTCATTTTCAACTTAAGTACTTTCCAAAGCATGAATCAACAAAGTAAAATCAACATATACAACATAAAATATCAAACTATAAGCTTCCTTTATCTCAAATCTTCCAGAAAATAAGAAGAAAAGAACCAAATCCATTGGGCTCACTAAGCTCAAAAGCAAAAAAAAAGCCCAAAGGCCCAAGAAGTCCAAAACTAGGCCCAATAAGTTTAAAACCCAAAAAGTCTTATATTAAGGCCCATAATACAAGACCAAACAATATAAATTCCTATACTACCAAATATATGAGAAAGTTGTTCATCCATGTAAAGCCCAAATAAAAAGAATCATAGGCCCACCAAACTCATTGGGCTCACTAAACTCAAAAGCAAACAAAAGCCCAAAGGCCCATGAAGTCCAAATCTAGGCCCAATAATCTTAAAATCCCTCCAAACGAGCCAAGTTAAAGAACACCCTTGAAATGCACTCAATGATGCCACAATTCATGGATGAAACTCAAAATCTACCATCTATTAGCATCATAAAACATATAATTTGAAATAAATACATGCAACAATGCAATACAAGATCACCATTCGTTCTTCCTTCATCAGGAAACCTCAAGAACAAGAATACCAAAGTTCTACCTTTTCATTTTCAACTTAAGTACTTTCCAAAGCATGAATCAACAAAGTAAAATCAACATATACAACATAAAATATCAAACTATAAGCTTCCTTTATCTCAAATCTTCCAGAAAATAAGAAGAAAAGAAAGAACGATGAAGTACATGATAAGTCGAGCTCCCGCTATACAACAACTCCAATATTTGATTCTCAGCATCCAAGCTTTGAACTTCCAATCAAGCACCACAACTCTGCTACAAGGAAGGATTGAGACACTTTTATTGAGTTAAAAGAAAAAAAATGACTCTTTTTCTCTATAGCTCATTTTTCAAAATATCTCTTTACAAATCTTAAGAGATGAACTTATAAAGTTAAAGTATTCAAGAAACCTTATATACATTTTCTTAAATTTGGTCAACTTTGACATCAACACAAAATAACTCCCAAATAGTTAAACTCATTATAATTACTCAATTCTTAAAGTTTTTTAAAACATTAAAAAAATACATCAACAATTATCAATTAAATAATATAATTAAATAAATAACAAGTTATAACACAATATTACAAGAATATTTCAGTTAATTGATTAAAGTGCATGAGTTTGTAAATTCTTTAGAATCAAGTTTGAATTTTTTTTATAAAAAAAAAACAATGACGTTAAAAATAATTATTACATAAAAAATATGTTAAAAATATTACATTATCTAAAAATAAAAGAGAATTCACAAAATTAATTAAAATTAAAACTATAACACATCTAAAGTTTTAACTAAAATGAGTAAAATTTGGTTCGAGTATAATATTGATTCCTCTCTATTATTATGATGGTGGCAAAAATTACATGGCAAAGTTAGTTTTCTTAGAATTATTTATTTATTTATTTACTTATCAATTTTTAAAGTTGCTGCCGCTAGTTTTTGGAACAATATTTTCCACTTGTAAGATTAAGTATATACCACTTAAACCAATCACTTCTTAACGTTTTGGATTTATCTTATATTTATCTTTTTTTTAATATATCACATCAACTAATTTTTTTGCACTTATTTAATTTTTTCTTTTGCTTTTATTTATAATATGTTGAAGAAAAAATAAGAGAGACAAAGATATATGCAACGCAAATATGAAAAAGTAATCTAAAAACAATCAAGACTAACTCAATATTTTATATTTAATTTTCTGTTCCAAACTATATTTTAAAATTTTATATATAATTACAGTTTTTATAATTAAATTTTATATATTAAATACAATCATTTATCTTATACGAGAGTTGTAACGACCCGTCATAGCCATCACACTACGAACAACCTTACACGTTACTGAAATATATATATTAAAAGAGTATAATAAAATAATTTTACAACACAAGTTGCTAATCAAGCAACCAATAACAACTAATTATATACAATAAAATAAGCTACCATAAGGTAGCCTACAAAAAAATCTATCTCCAGGCACCGTTCCGAAACTGAAAAGCAGCTACCTCCGTACGTCGTAACACGTGTTTGTTTTTGTGTAGTTGAAAAAAAAAAATTATTTCAGTAAAAAATTAGAAATTTTTGATCTTGTGTGTGAAGGTGTATATTATACTATCACTAATCTTAACCATTCATTATTTTTTATATTATATCTAAGGTCATCCTAAATCCTAAACATGCAGCACGGATGGACCACTTCCTGAACTTCTTCCTGAACTTCCCCATCAGAAACTTCACCTAATTTAAGTAATTATAGTTATGCTTTTCACTATAAATAATTAAACCTAAAATGTAGTGATTTGGTAGGTGATTACAACAACTCAAAAATGTAAAAATGGTTACTCAACTTGACATATAGTCAAATTTTAATTGGATCGGACGAGTTTGAACTAAATGTTAAAAAAATCTAAATCAAACTCGTCGGCTCAATTAAGTTTACAAATTATTCGTGGTTGTTTACATCCTTAGGTGAACACTGACGCTCTAAATGACATAAAGATGACAAGTAAGTGTAGATATAATAATTAATACGATGGATTGAAAGATAGAGTTGAGGGAAATGATATATGTTGATAAGATGTTGGGAGTGATTATTATTTAGATAGAATAATATTTTATTTCCGTGTCTTAATTTAACATAGTCTCATATTAAGGTTATGTAATAAGAATTTAGTATACCTGTGAGAGCCGATGGATGCTGCAACTTGGTTGCCCAGGTCATCTTGGATGTCTGCGATGACCACCATTCGCGCACCATGGTCCGCAAACACACGCGCCGTCTCTTCTCCGATGCCGCTCGCTCCGCCGGTGATTATGGCAACTTTTCCGGCCAACTTCTGCCCACTGTTGTGGATCGAGTTAGCAGATTCAGCCATTTTCTTTCTTTTTTCTCTCTCAGGGAGACTCTATGGACCAAAACTAGTCTCCTATATACTTACACTTTTGTTAAATAACCACACTTATTATTTCACCTACCACGTGAAATAAATATATTTTTCATTTTATATTTTTATATTCATAATTATTCATTACAGTTGTTCGGGAATAATGTCAAATTGACATCCAAACTATTATAATAGCCTCATACTCATTTCCATTCATAATTTTACGTAGACGCAGTGAATAAAGACTTCAACAAAAGTAAAAAAGAAATAATAATCTTATCTCCATTTAGCAACAATGAACCAAATTAATAAGTAAGCAATAGGATAAGTGAAAAATTAAAAATATAGAAAAAAATATATATAATAGAAATAAGAATGTTTGATTTTAAAAAATAAGAAAATATAAATAAAAATAATTTTAAAATCAAATAATTGATTATTTTAAGATTAAGCGTACGTCAAATAATTGATTATTTTAAGATTAAGGGTCCTTTGATAAAAAAAAGTATATAGAAAAAACATTTTGTTAATCAAATATACAGTTTTTATTTTCCTTTTTTTTATATATTTTTATAACTGCTTATTTTAAAAATAAAAAATATATTTTTTAAGAAACAACTCCAATCTACTTTTTTAAATTATTTCTTTTTAAAAAAATATAATTATTCTTTTAAGTATAAATAAGTGAACCATTATTCCATTAAGATAGACATTCTTATAGAGGATTAGAGTAATATGTTAAAGATCTTAGCACAAATCTTTTTGTCACCGTAATTTGTATTAATAAAAAAGTAATTAAATAATTTGTCCCTTAATCAATTAGATACTTTAAAAACAACGATTTCACATGAAAGAGGGAGCAATAACAAATAACCGATAATTCACTTTCACAATGTAAAATCACCTGGGTAAGTTAAGATGTTCACATTTCTTTACTATTTTATTTTCTACCAATTTTGCGCAAAAAATGAAATTAAATAAAAGTCACAACCTTTATATTTATTGCATATCCCATCTGACAGGATATTGATAGGCCCGCCCCTTCTTATTTCCACACGTGCCCTTTGTTGCTCCAATAATTTGTCCCAACTAAATATAGTATTAATATCAAAGAAGAAACGAAAAGAAAGAGTTCAAATGATTTAACCATCAGTAATACCAATAGATTAACCATCAGTAATGAATCACCATTATTTTTTGACAAATATATTTGTCAATAATAAATGACCATTAGTTTCCGATAAAAAAATCCATTGATAACTTTCGATAAAAATATTTATTTGTAATTATGAAAAAATATTTCAACAAATTTTTTTTCCAATAACTATCTTTTTAACAAATTTTTGTCCATAAGTAACCTCCTGTGCCATATCATGTTACATCAACTTTTTTTCACTCTATGGATTACTTAAATTTTAGTACTAAGCTTCTACAAATAATTTTGCAAAAATTTAAGTAACCCATAAAGTGAAAAAGAGCTGATGTAGCATATGTGGCACAGGGATTGATCAATAAATATTAATCATTTATCTTAATTGAAATATAATTATTTTGTAATATTAGTAATCAATAATACAAGATTAATCTAATCCACGAATATTAATCATTTACCTCAATTGGAATTCAATTATTTTGTAATATTAGTAATTAGTAATGAAAAAAACGTAAATCTAAGTAGTAATTAAAAATTAATTAATTAATTAAAAAAATCAAATCATGAAAAATACTTACATATTCTTTATTCACATGTTTATTTATAAAGTATTATGGATATATATATATATATATATATATATATAGTAATGAAACGTTTATTAACGTCACAGTAGAAATACAATTATTTTGTAATATTTTTTTTTTTTGAAGGGAATTATTTTGTAATATTAGCAATTAGTATTTTTTTTTCTTGACAAATTGTAATTAGTAATAAAACATAAATCTAGTAGTGAATTAATTAAAATAATTGTAACCCCGTTTAATTATTATGGAATAATAATATTAAATACTATGTATATTACTTTGAAATATTTAATTATTTACCTAAAAAAATTCATTCCTTTTATATATTCTGCGGATATTGTTTTTATTTATTATCTTATAAGTATTTTTGAATAAAAATATTAATTAAATTTAATTCCATTGACATTTATTTATATTTTATATTTCAATCTAAAACAAATGTAAGCATTTTTTACTAATTTGAATTATGAGTACTAGAAGTGCATTCAATTAGTCATTATTAACCAAGTAACATATTCTAAATCTCATGTGGGCTTTTTCGCCATAATAAATTTTTTTAAAAAATAATTATTATTATTAAAATAAATTATTAAAAAATTTATTTACTAAACTAAATAGTTTTGGCCATATTGGATTGAAGAGAGAAAGAAAATGCCAGTTTCGATTATGACTTTCAGAAATGGAAGCACGGAAGAGAGAAAGAACAAAAAACGTCAACCATTGTGACGTTTCCTACATGGTCTATTGTGAACAGAAAACGTCAACTATTATGACATTTTCTGCATGATCAAGTGAATCTCCAGGGTTCGTGCGCAACAATGAACTAAAAGGCAATTTGGTGTGAATGACAATCACGTTCACAGTCGATAAAACCACCCATTTATTTGTAAGATAAAATATAAGTATAGGTTTATATGCTTTTGTTTAAAATATAGAGAGAAGAGCGTGTCTATAAATCATTAGCTGTGTATTGTTGTGAAAGAAAAGGTGTGAGATGGAGGGAATAGTGCACAAAACAGTGGAAGTGAATGACAAAAAAATGCACATAGTAGAAAAGGGAGAAGGCCATGTGGTATTAATTGTTCCTTCACGGCTTCCCTAAATGGCGCCATCAGATCTTGGCTCTTAGTTCCCTAGGATACCTGTCGTGGCTCCAGATCTGCAGATTTAAGGTTATATTTGCATCATTTTTCCTTCATTATTTTTAGTTATGTTATAGCTAATTACAATGGTAGATCTGATTATGTGTGAAAGGAACCAGGCAAAATGGAAGGTGAGATGGCTCAAGTTGGCATTGAGTATGTGCTCAAAAACATCCTTACAACTCGCAAACCTGGACCTCTAGTATTTCTCAAGGGAGAATACGAAACATGATTCAATCCGAATATGATTGATGTGTGTGAACTCGTCCGAGAAGGAACTCGTCAGCTAGACTGACGTTTTTAGCTTGCAAGGAAAATGTCTCATGGATTGACGTTTTCCCACTAGTATAAAAGAGGTATTCCACGTCGGCTATTTTGAGCTTTTTACATCAGAAAAAATACCGACGTAGATGCGGGAGACGTAAATCTACGTCGGCACTGTAAAACTGACGTAAATTTACGTCGGACAATATCAAGGTCCGACGTAAAAAAGTAGTAAAAAAATAAAGAAAAAAAATAACAAGTAAATGAAGAACGGGTCGTTCTGCTTGGAGAACGGGCCGTTTTGCTTCATAGAACAACAAAAAAAAGGCCAACAGCCCATACAAATAAAACAACCAAAAAATCGAATAGAACAGATAGCCACAATAGCAATACGAAGAAAAAAAGTGTTAACGAAACCCTGATTCATACATGATGAGCAGGAATAGTGTGCGAATGAGTAACAAAGAGTTCACCCCACTCTGTAGAAAACAAAAAAATGATTCAGTAACAAAGGAGAGGGAGAGGGTTTACAGAGAAAAAAAACAAAAAGTGATGAAGAGTGAATGCGCATAGGGATGACAAACATACTCGTACCCGCCGGTAATACCCAAACCCATCCCGACTTTGACGGGGAATACCTGGTTTGACCGGGTACGGGTACGGGTACAGGTAAAATCCGATATATTAAATCGGGTACGGGTACGGGTACGAGTATGTACTTCCCCGCCCCGTACCCGTACCCTTCCTCGTTTCCAATTTTAATTTAACATACACTTTTAATTTAATTATATTAAAGAATTTTAATATTTTTATGTGTGATTATTTATTATAATATGAGAAAAAGAAATAACTTAATTATTATTATAATATAATATAAAAAAATTAAAAATATCATTTTTTATAAAAAATAAAAAATAAAAAAATTTGACGGGTACGGGTACGGGTATACCCGATACCCGACGGGGACGGGGATGGGGATGAAAATCATATACCCGACGGGTATGGGTACGAGGACGGGGATGGGTTTGTCTCGCGGGGACAAGGACGGGTATTATAAAACCCGTACCCGACCCGCCCAGTTGCCATCCCTAAATGCACGCGGTATGCCTCGCACTCTCTTATTCAATTTCTCGTCCTTTTTTTACGTCGGACACTACCAGGTCCAACGTAGATTTGACTTTTTACGTCAGACCCTACCAGGTACGACGTAAAAAAGTTCGCGAAAATTACAAAAATGCCACCGTATTTTTTTTACGTTGAATTTTAGGATTTCTGACGTAAAAGGGGTGACGTAGTAACCTTATTTTGCAGTAGTGTCCATTGCTTTTCCAGATAATGAAAGTCGTCAAGCATGGTGACGCTTCCTTCCTCTATATCCTTTACGCACAAAATGTCAAGCATAATGATGTTTTTCGTTGATCCGCTCTCCTACATGCATGCATTTTTGAAAGTCGTCACTGGAATTGACATTTTCACTCTCTCTTTAAATCCGACGTGGCCAAAACTATTTAGTTTGGTAAATAATTTTTTTAATAATTTATTTTAGTAACTTTTTTTTTAATTTAGTATGGCAAAAAAGCCTCTCATGTGAAACAAAGTACAACAAAGCAAATTCCCAAGCACCCTGTCGTGTGGCCTTTTGGCCATAATAAATAAAAAATAAATAAATAATATTGAAATAAATTAAAAAATATATATTTATCAAAATAATTTTTTTTGGTAAAGATGAAGAAAACGTCATCCTTTATGACGTTTTATACATGAAGAAAAAGACAATGAAAAACATTATTGTCTTTGACGTTTTTTATGAAGGAAAAATAAATGTCATAAACTTTGATGTTTTCTGCACCTTCACTCCACGTTTTCTGCACGGAACTCGCATGGCAAATAAACATT